TCAGGGTCAAACTCAGTTCATGTGGGATGATGATAAGGGCTGCTCCACGGTTCAAAGGAAAGACTGGCTTTCAAATGAGCCTCTGGAAAACAATCCTGTAGGACTCCTTCCTCACCTTCTGTAGCTCCCTCTTCCCACCATAACCAAATAGAAACAAAATATTTTATCCTCTAAACTCCCAGAGTTCCTGAATTTATTATTACAAGTCAGACTGAAACCTTGAGCAAATTAACCACTTTGAGCCTTGGTTCTCCTGAGAAATGAGTGTTATAAAGGTACCCACCTCTTAGGGTTGTGAAGATTAAGTAAAATAATGGGGGTCGAAAATTCAGCACAGTGCCTGGCACACAGTGAGCATTCAAGAAATAAAATTTTATGGGCCAGCAGATGGCATGCAGGTGAAGGTGGTGGATCCCACATAGCCAATTCCATGGTTTGAGTCCTGGACCTGGCAGCTTGAGGATCACGCCAGGTGTGTGTGCATGTGTGCGTAAGATCCTGAGAGGAGAACATAGGAGATGGGATTGTGGCGTGGCCATTCCCCCTTGGGAGTGATTTCTCACTTCCCCCATCTCTGTCTCTGGTGAGTGCACATACTCTACGCCCAAAAAACAAACAAACAAACAAACAAAACCCCAAAAAAAACCAAAACCCAAAACCAAACCAAACCAAAATCATGGGGCAGCACTACTTTTTGCTTTTTAAAAAATATTTATTCAATTTTATTTATTATTATTATTACTATTTAATTGGCAGTAGGGCATGTGTGCTCACCAGAGAGAGGCAAGAGAGAGAGAGAAAGTAAGAAAGCAAACCACCAGATTCGGGACTCAAGCTGTGGTCGGCCACATGGGAATCCAGCACCTTCACCACCATGCCACCTGCTGGCCTCCCAGTGGCAGTACTTTTTCACTGCAAAAACAATTACATAGCAAGACAGGTGCCTGGGCAATGTTAGAAAATCCCTGCCTCAAGACATCTTTAAAATCAACACAATTTTCTCAAGAATAGACTTCTGTTTAAAAGTACTTTTAAAAAGGGGCAGAACCAGGAGGCTGTTAGGAACCACTCTGGGGCCCTTTTCTGTCTCCTTTACTCTGAAACATCAGAGACACAATTCAGTATTGAATTTACTCCTATTTCCATCACCTGTATTTTTTTTTTTTTAAATCTTTCTTCCATAAATGATTAAGAGTGAGAGAGAAAAAGAGAGAGAGGAAGAGAGAAACAACATCCGTGGTCTCCATACCACAACCCACTCCCAGCTTCCGCCAGCCCTGGACCACTGGCACGCTCGCACCAAATGTGTTTAGGGAGGTCTCTTGGACAAGAACCTGGAACCTTCTTATGTGGGCCAACCCATGGGAACATACTTCATATTCTTGCTGCACCACTGCCACCCCCTGCATCATGTTTTCACCCTCACAGAGGTGCGCCCCAGTATAGGATTTTACCCCTTTGGCAAAATACTGTTTGTCACACTCCGTTTACCGACAGGGAGGATGCGGAGGCGTGCAGCCACCACAGGCCCTTACCGTCGGTCTGGTAGTTGAGCGCGACGAGCTGGATCCCGTGGAGCCAGAACATGAGGGGGTTGGGGTTGGACGAGTCGATGCGGGTGGCAGCCGGGTAAGTCCTCAGCAGCTGACAGGCGGTGTGCTGGATCAGTTTCTGGGAATACCTGCGACACAGACGTTTGGCGGCATTTTCATTCAGCGAGGAGATATGGTAACATTTGGGAGTGCGAATGATAGCGCTGAGGGACGTGGTTGGGTTGAGAGGAGATTCTTCCCAGGTCTGTCGAATTCCTTCACAGGAACCTAATTCCCCCAAAAGAGTGGCCTCAGATTAGTGCAGAAGACTTGGAGTTGGTTTAGAAAGCGCAATCTGAACAGCATCCCATGGAAACACACTTGTAACACATAACACATCCGCAAGCATCCTGGATTTATTTGCTTGTGAGTAGGCTCACCACCTTGAAACCAAATGGTGGCTACTGAGTTATAGAATGATTTCAATTAGAAGGTGAAAATCCTTCACTTCAGGATGTCATCTGCCCTGTGGGTGTATGTGCACAAATGCACAACAGTTCACACCAGCATTGTTTCCTAAACGTATTTGAAAGACCAGATTTTAAAATGTCATAATCCTCCTGCCTTAGCCGCCCAGCTGGGACTATAGGTAAGTGCCACCTTGCTCTTGTCTAGACGGGCTCTCACTATGTTGTCCCGGCCAGCCTCTACCTCGTGATCCTCCCGCCTCAGCCTTCCACATCACTGGATGACAGGTGGACACCACCATGCCTGGACTTTAGGGTGGACCAGGAATTGAACACAGGTCTCCCAGCCTAAGGGACACAGTGTCTTCCAGCATGTGCCTCTGCAGTTAGCATTGTTTTTAATAAGAAAAACAAAACTGAAAGCAAGTCAAACATTGCATCAGTGAGGAACTGGTTAAATACAGGACACCATATCCCTCGCAGACATTAAGGATCTGTGTACAGAAAGTTACGTGAAAAGTTTCAACAAGTATAAAAGCTATACCAGGGACCAGCAGTTGGTGTAATGGCTGTTGCTGGACTCCCATGTAGTTGACCTTAGTTCAAGTCCTGGACCTGGTGGCTTAAACTCACACCGGGCACGTGTGCGTGCATGCCCAAGATCCTGAGAGGAGAATGCAAGAGAAGAGATCGCAGCATGACCATCCCCCCAGAGGTGATTTCTCGCTTTCTGTCTGTCTGTCTGGCAAGTGCACGCGGCCCTATAGCAAATCCTCTTCAAAAAAAAAAAAAAGCTATACCAGTATGTTCTGTTATATCCTGTTTGGATTATGTCTCTTGTTTTTATAGAACCAAGCAGTAAATTTAACAGTGGTTACTTCTGGGATGTAGCACTAGGCCATGAGAGTGGAAAGGAATTTTAATAATACTCTGTATTGTTGGAGTTTTTAACTATGAGAATTTATTACTTTCATAATAAAAAGTAATGAGAAATAAAATGGATATATCTTCTGGAGTTATAATGGTGAAGAGTGCAGTTCCAAGAACCACTAGAATGTTCCAAGGTGCCTCCAAATTTACTTTTGAGGCAAACGCTACTAAGAACATCTTCGCTCAAATGCTATTTGTAGGGAGTCGGAAGCATAAATGACCAATTTTACAAACATTTATTCTACAATATGACATTGATGAAAATTAAAAAAAAAAAAGAATTAAAAATTCAAGAGAAATGCTTAGTAGAAGAGCTGAACCATCCAGCCAGCAGAATCAAGGAAAGATATTGTAAGAAGGTAGGTAACTTTACTTTTTCCAGATGTTTTGTTGAATGCTGTCTCCCCTGGGCTCATTCTGCCCGGATTGTTGCCAAAAATGGACTTCCTGCTTTTCCTTTCTTTTCCTCTGCTAGAGCCAGATGCATTTAGAGTTGACAGGCCTGTTCCCATAAAACGAAAATAAATAAGCCAAAAACTACAGGCAAGGGAACCCAACATTTTCCATCCCCGTTCATGTTTATTTTGAAGTCCTGCTACTCCTCTGCAGCTTCGTACAGAGCACCGGCTGCATTTCGGCACTGTTAACTATGGCCTATCCCGTAGGCCCTGCTAGCGGCGTTCATCTCTGTAGCCAATAAAACAATAACTGCATTATCACAGAACAGCTGCAACGTCACACACATCCCTAGCTGATTTTGTACCACAAAGATTTTGAAAAAATTGTGTGCAAAGAGTGCTGCAGTCAATATTTAATCTTTAGGGGCTAAAGTAATTCAGTCCGGGGAGATAAAAGCATGGTTATCCACCTGAGTGTCTGCATGGTACTGTCCAGGCTCAATTACTGCTGCTATCAGCTGTGACTCAACCCCCTTCTCTGCTTCTCTGTTTCCTTATCTATAATAGAGGAGCTCACGCATAGGCTTAAGTCTGAAGATTGAATGGCAAATATATGATGATGATAATCACGTTTCATGGCTTCTTTTTCAAGTCTGGATCAATCAGTCCCTGGATCCTTCATGCCTGGCGCTCGCCAGGAACTGAATACATATTTGCAGCATAAGGAAATAAATGCACGCCATGCAGACCTGGCTCTGTTGTAAGGAGAGAGACTCGAAGGCCCCGACACGGCCAGACTTGTCTCCGAGTTATTCCCACTGTCTCTACTGTATCTCTGGAGACAGAGCTGCACCAGCATGGAGGAGGTCCTCTGTGAGATGCAAATACCTTCCAGGAACAGCATCACCCATCACTCTTAGCACCCATAGGGTGGTGTTAAGAGCATAAACTTTGGAGTGAGACACGCCTGGATTAAACCCTGTTCCTAGCAGTGCAACCTCACACAAGTTATTGAACCTCTCTGAACCACTCCTTCCTCCACTGTGGAAAAGGCCGTGATTAGGACTACACGAGAGAATCGAGACATACGCACATACTTAGCAGAGTGTTTGGTTTACGGAAAGGCCTCTGCACAGTGGCTGTTCTGTGAGTCAGTGTGGAGCGTCTCAGAGGAAGTTTCTCTTCCTCTGCAGTATTTGAGACAGAGAGGCATACACCTAGACTATTGAGTTCTCATGCTCTGATCTTAAAATTCTGTGTAAACTTTGCTCTGGACACACTTGTATAACAGTGGACTTCCTTCTACTTAAAACTGAGGAGGGCCCTGGTGTGAGGGGCTGTTTTTATTCTGGAATTTTTGCCTAGATGTTGACCCCTCCAGTTACATGAGAGCCCTGCTGTGAAGAGCCTGGTTGTTCTTTTGGGATGGGGAGAGGAGGGTAGGAAGCAGGGCTGGGTGGACAGCAGAGGAGAAGGCCACTGCGAGGCAGAGCTGGGATTAAAAGCCCCGTGGTCAGTCGGGTGGCAGCCTTTCCCCTCCAGTTTGAGGAGTCTCTCTAGTTCATTTTAGGGCCTTCCCTCTCGCTCACACTTTTCCTTGCAGTGTAAATGAGAATGCTTCTATTTTTTGATGTAGCTGTCGGAACACCTGATGGTGACTACAGCTTCGAGGTAGAAGTTTGAGGTGCTCGTCTAGCGGAAACTGATGCGCATCCAGGATAAAATGACCAGAGCATATGATGGCATCTTCCTTCAGAGACCCTCATTTATCTGGGCTGTGCAATCAATTCCCTGATGCCACAGGTGATGTAGGTACAATTAGTGCCAGGCTTTCTTCTGGATACCCTCTCTGAGAGACACCTGGAGGATTCAAATCTACCCGTGCTGGAGACATGAGGAGAAGAGCTAAGTCCAGGGAGGTCTGAGGGTCGCCCAGGGTTGCACAGGTGCCTTCTCACCTCGTGGAGAGCATTTCCTTCACGCTCAGCGCAGGTGCAGCAGTGCTTGCCTGGCCTAGTCACTGTGGACTGGAAAAGCCACTCAGTGATGCGTGGTTCGCAGTCTGCTCTGGGAACTTTTTTTGTTAACAGCCTTCTAAACCCTCATCTGAAATGTGTCCCTCTGTCCCTGGTGTTCTGAGCAGACTCCATACCACCAGCATTCTCAGGGGAGGACTAGTCTGCCAAGGATGTGAGTGGTGATGGGGAAGAGAACAGGGATCCTCAGCAGGGTCCCGCTTTTGTGATTCAAATGGCTGGTTACAAACCACTGTCTGACAACAAAGCGTGGCTCTCAGGGCTGTGGGAGCTGCTGAGTTTAGTGTAGGAACAGAAATGGACACAGAAGCATCAGGACAAGTCTCACTGTGGGATATCTGTGCACCTGCTCTGTGGGTCATGTGGGAGGTCCAAAGAACGAGGCAAAACCTCTCTGAATCAGGCTTTGAGACGTGGAAGACCCAGTACCAGGGCCTCCGAAGTACCACGAGTAGTAGTTTTTAATTTGGTATAGGGATGTGCAGGCACTGGAGAATGACAAAGAGAGAGACAGGGAGAGGGAGAGCAACAGAGAGAGGAAATGAGAAAGCATGGCCCAGGGGTTGACCTTGCTACAACTCCATTTCCTTTATTCTCCTCTTGGAATTTCGGGCATGTACGCATATGCAGCAGTGTGTTTTTCAAGCCTATTGTTCTGGGACTCAAACTGTACAGTTGACCAGCTGTGTGTGTATACACACACACACACACACACACACACACACACACACATATATATAAAAGATTTTTTATATATGTGCCCTATGGCAAAAATATTTTTTGTTGTTTTTTTGGAGAGGTTTTTGCTACAGGGCACGTGCACTCATCAGAAAAACAGAGAGAGACAGAGAGACGGAAAGTGAGAAATCACCCCCCCCAGGGGAGATGGCCATGCCACAATCCCTTCTCCATTCTCCTCTTGCGATCTTGGGCACGCACGCACCACGCCTGGCATGAGTTTAAGTCATGGGATCTGGAACTCTAACCACGGTCAACTACATGGGAGTCCAGTGATATGGCCATTACACCAACTGCTGGTCCCCCAAAATCATTCATATATATTATATAAAATAATTATGTAATATATAATATACATATATAAATCACATAAAATAATATATACTATATTACATTATATACAATATAAAATAAATATATAATAAACTATATAAAATTATATAATATATAATATATATTATAAACATGTATATAAGCTTTTTGCCATAGGGCAAGTGTGCTCACCAGAGAGAGACAGACACAGTGAGAGGGAGAGTGAGAAATCAATCCCAGGTGGGATGGCCACACTACAATCCCTTCTCATCCATTCTCCTAGTGGGATTTTTGAAAAGCACACATACACGTGCTTGTTGTGATTTTCAAGCCACCAGGTCCAGGATTCAAACCACGGTTCACCATGTGGGAGTTCAGGGCCTTCACTCCACTTCACCTACTCGCCCCGGGATCCAGCCATCTGAACCACTCTGCCACTGGCTGGCCCCGAGAACTGGTGATTTCACCAAGTGTCATTAGCACGGGTTACAGTCAGATCCATGTTTGAGTGAGGAACAGGCTCAACGAGGGACTTGCTTTGGCCAAAGTCACAGAGCAGGGTAGTCAAGAGCCCAGTTTTCTGACCACTAATCTCGTCCGTATCTAGGATTTCTCTCAGAAAGCTGCATTCTTTTTTTTTTTTTTGGAGAGGTTTTTGCTATAGGGCGCGTGTGCTCGCCAGACAGACAGAGAGACAGAAAGCAAGAAATCACCCCCCAGGGGAGATGGCCACGCCACAATCCCTGCTCCTCCATTCTTCTCTTGGGATCTTGAGCATGCACACACATGCGCCTGGCGTGAGTTTAAGTCACCAGATCCAGGACCCAAACCATGGTTGACTACGTGGGAGTTCAGCGACATAGCCGTTACAATAACTGCTGGTCTTCAGAAAGTTGCGTTCTTAACGGGGAACAGCTAGAGGCCCAGCAGGTGCCCAACACATGCAAAGAGCTCCCAGAAAGGAGACAATGCGATGGTTGAAGTCTCAGAGACTTCACAGGGAGCCTTGGCCGGGGATTCAGACAGTGGCAAAAGGGAGAAGGAAGGCCAGACCAGGCTGGGCACACTGTAAGCAAACCTGGCAGTTACAAAGTGCAGCTGGTGCCTGACGGGGGACGTGGGGAGCTTGCGGACAGTATCCGCAAATCAAGTTGGAATCATATGGCAAAATATCATGCCTCCCTTTATTTCTGCTATAGGAGAAGAAAGGGCTGGCCAGTGGCATGGTGGTAGACCTGCATGGCCAACTGCATGGTTCAGGTCTCAAACCTGGTGACTTAAGAACCATGCCAGGCATGTGTGCATGTGTGTCCAAAATCCCAAAAGCAGAAATGGAGGAGAAGGGGTTGTGGCGTGACCAACCTGTGGGGGGTGCTTTTTCACTCTCCTTCTTTCTCTCTCTGTCTCTGTCACTCTCTGGGGAACACATGTGTTCTCTGGCAAATTAAAAAAAAAATAAAGAAGAAGAATAACACGCAGGCAAAAAAGACAAAGACAAAAAAAAAAAAAAAGAATAACACCCAGGCAGATGTTAAGTATTGAATGTAACTGAGACACAGACTTTATGAGAAAGCAGTGATAAAAGCAGAAAAGGCTGAGCTGCTTCCTTGGTCTAAGAAAAAACAACAGTGGAAAGCGGGCAGCCCTGGCAGTGGAGACGTGGGTTCTGCCTCTCCCATCCTCTGATGTGGGCAGCGCGACGTGTTTGCGGGTGTGCACAATGCCCGGTGGAACAGACGGCATGCTGTCCCCTTCACAGCTTTCAATGATACAGAGGCACTGCCTGCTCTTACCTGGGAATTTTACTGCTTGGCAATAGATGACAAGGTCAGAAAGCTCTGGTGCAATCTGTCTGCTTTCCTTTTTATTCTGAGGAAGATAAAATTCTTCTCCTAGTTCCATGTCATAAACCTGTGAAGAGAAAGCCGCGGCATTTCAGTGGAAGGTCTGTGCCACCCCCTTCGAATTCCCAAAGCTCTTCATCTGCGCTTCTGTGGTATCTTCGGCGTGACTCCCTCTGCTCTGTGTGGATCCAGATAACGTCCTAACTCCTGTCCTGGAGGAAGAGCTTTCTGAGGGCAAGGGGTGAGCCTGATTCACGCTTTCTCTTCCCTAATGTGTGGACAGTCACATTTGTTGAACAAGTAGAGGATGACTGTCCATACTCTGTGGCTCATATTTCTCACACATTTTATGGTTTTATTCTCTGGGAATGTCACTGCAACCATGTCTGTGGATCTGCTTGGAGTGTACATACTGGGAGGTCCTTAACGGGAGGGTCTGGGTATCTCGCTTGTCTTGCTGTTCTTGGTGCCATTCCTCTGTTATCACTTTTCCACTTGCCACCAGTTTCTCTTCTTGGTCACCCTAAATGCCTGCAAAACTCTGTGCAGTTCCCTGAACATGCCAGGCTGTTCTCCTGGCCTAAATGCCCTGTTTTTGTTTGCTTAGTGGAGTCTCCTGTCTCAAACATCCTCTAGCCCAAGAGCCTGTCCTCGATTCTCTGATAACAGTGTAATTGCCGCTCTGGGCACTTACCTACACGCTGTTCACACGTCTGTCCCCGTCACTAACCCACCTCCTTGCCCACTCGGTGACTGCCACCCCACCTTCCTAGGTACTGGCTGGCTGAATCAGTGACAGCAGGTGGAACCCACACTGTCACCACGTGGATGCTGCATCTAAGGGCAAGCGAGGGGCAAGGCGAAGGGAAGGGAAAGGGTGGAAGTGGAATCCCACCTGGAACTGACAAGAACACCTTGGTCCAAGCGTCATTAACGGAAGCCGTCACCCACCTTCCCTTTGTTGCCAGCAGAGTTATCCGCTTTCTTTATCCTCTTGGGGATTTCTTCGTTATACTCAAACTGAAGCTTGTCATTACAGGCTTTGTTTTCAGGCCTGTCTTCCAGGATGTTGTCTGTAAATGAGTTAGCAGGCTTCAGTACAAAGGACCCGAGGCTTCAGGTAAGGGCTGTGTGCACATCATCGTGTAGACACCCAGATCTCAGCCTCATCTGCGAGACCGAGGCTCTGGCCACACGTTACCAAAATAACAGCCTGAAGGATGATTTTTTTTTTTAATTTGGAGGAGGTGTTTATTTTCAGTTCAGTTCACTCATTTACCAGTAGTTTTAGTACCATAGTAGACATAATCTAAATGAAAAAGCTCATTTTCAGACAGATGATCGGATCTAGGCAAACATTAGGGAAGATGCCCTGTGTCAAGAAGCCAACAGCACACAAGCCTGGGAAGGATTTCGTGGTTGAAGCACTTGTAGATAGTAGGCGCATGATTTAATCACTCTCATTTTGAAATGAAGTGTCTTTTACCAAAACCAGGAGGGAAAGACTGCCTGCCACGTGCAGCGCAGTTTCCACAACCATCACTAAGTGGGAAGCCACGTGTTCATGGTGGTGATTAACTTGTAAAGTGATGACCCTAACTATGAGAATTAAAATATCAAAACATATCTAAGTCTGGCAGGCAATCTTATACTCTGCTCTTTTTATTTTTAAATCCTATTCAGAAAGGTATTAAATGTATATTATGATCATGTCCTTTTAAAATCAAAAGCAAGAGAGCTGAATTTCCTACTCCAGATTCACTATCTTATCAGAGCCATAAATGCTTAGACCAAAATATCCTTATACCGAATCAGGGCCATGCAGGCTGCTGAGACATAAAGGAGATGTCATTTCATTGCATTTGTATTCATAGAAGTGTCACAACTTCATGCTAATCAGGCTGACATCATGCAGTTAAAATGCCCCGATCACGTGGTGTTTACCTTCCTGACCGTTAGGAGCAGAGGAAGCAGTAAGGACATCTGCTATGGAAAAACAGAATCAGAGGGGATAAAAGGAAGAATTGAGACAAAAAGCCAGATCAATTAAATGAAGGTACGAAGCAAAGCATAAATAACAACGGCTTAGACTTAAGACAAATGAAACAGGAAATGTTCTACAGATTTAATATTATTTAGGGATGCAAAGATAGCAACAAAAGAAATCCATTAACCATTCACATCATTAACTGTTAATTGTTAAATCATGCCAACGGCTACCACATTCATGTTATAGCTGTTACATGTTTTCAATTACTGGCTGATAAAACACTCCCAATATGACTTTATTTCAGATGGAATGAAATGGATTAATTCGTTAGAATCACACAGTCATTGTCACAGAATACGCCTATGTTAAGCTGTAAATTCAACTTTGGGTTCCAGAGTATATTCAAAACTAGTCAAGGTAAATAACCAGGGTGGGAAAAAAAAATCAGTATTTATTTAATTGAAATCTCCTTATCAAAGGATAATGTAGCGCAGCAGCTAAGTGTTGTGTAGATGGAGCCAGGTCCCACACGGTTGACTGAGGTTTGAATACCGGCCCTGGCAGTTTGAAAAATATGCCAAGCACATGTGTGTGTGTGTGACCAAAATCTTGACGGGATGGAGAACTGGAGAAAAAGGAAATGTGCCTTGTGTAGTCCCACTGGGGGGTGCTTTCTCTTTCTCTCTCTTTCTCTCTCTCTCTGGAGAGTGCATGTGCCATATAGTAAGACAAAAATTCATTATCCAAAATGTAAGGTGGTGAGCCAGCCGATGGGGTGGCATTAAAGCGGCTGGATCTCACATGGCGACCACACTGGGTTGAGTCCTGGGCCTGGAGGTTTGAGACAGAAGCCAGCGCCTGTGCATTCATGCCCAAAATCCCCCGAGGAGAATGGAGGAGAAATAACTATGGCATGCCCAACTCTTTCTGGGGGTGTTCTCTCACTTTCCTTCTCTCTCTGGCAGGTACATGCAACCTATAGCAAATTAAACAAACAAACAGTAAAGTAGTAAGATTCTTAAGATACAAAACCCTCATCTGAGACCTCCTTAGGGTTTCTTCCACCTGATTCTCAACAGGATGTGTCATTAAAAGAAGCTTAGGGACCTCTGAGGTCCTCCTAAGAAGCTGGAAATGGTTCTTCCCCATGTCAGGCAGGTTTCTTTCTTTCCTTTTTCACTCTGAATGGAAAAGTGGAGATGGTAGGGAAAAACACAAAGAGAAGCAACACGACCGCAATCGGAAGTGTGTGGTGGACCAGGCATTGAACCGTGAGACAAGGCCCGACCAGTCATGGCATAGGAGGCCTGTTTGGAAACCAGCCCGTCAGAGGAATCCTTCAATGAAATGGGAAATACTCATGCGGTGACAGTGGACTTCAGCTGTCACAGCTCAGAGGTGTTGGTGCTAGAAGTTGGGGAGGGGAGTAACATCACCCATCACCAAACACGTCTCAGGCCTCTTCACATATCGGGGGGTCTGAAGCTTAGATCAGTGAGAGGACATTGGCTAATGTCTTGTAGCCACTGGAGCAGGGCCTGGTGGGGCCTCCTGGTCTATGCATACTTTCCCCCGCATGTGTAGGGTTTTAAAAAACTCATGCAACTGTCTTCTAAACTCAGTGGGGACAGGGTTAGATTTTTTAAAGTTTGCTATAGAGTGCATGTGCTCACTGGAGAGAGACACAAAGAGGGAGAGACAGAGAGAGGGGAAATTGAGAAATCACTCCCCAGGGCACATAGCCACTGTACAATCCCTTCTTCATTTTCCTCTTCGGATTTTAGGCACACACACATGTGCCTGGCATGATTTTCAAGCTGTTGGGTCTGGGACTCCAATTGTGAAGTCAGTCATGTGGGATCCAGCCCCCTTAACCACCATGCCGCCTGGCTGGCCCTGGTAAGGTTAAATTTTACTTTCCCAACTGAACATAAGTCATAAAGAGCCTTCTCCCACTTGTTCAAATCAAAAACATCTATAATAAAAATTTTCACAAGCCTTTTCCTTTCCTGTTCTCAAAAGTACAGAAAAAGCACAGGAATAATTTATGATAGCGAATTTGTCTTTCCGCGGACTAACTTCTTATGGGACGAATGACATCTGGATTGGTTGTTTTCTTAGGTGTGGTTTTCATTTCATATCTGAATCAATTTATTCTTCTATGGGACATAACCACAACTGTAATAGAAATCCAGGGGGAAGAATAAGTCAATATAAAATATTCTCATTCCCACAACTTTTCAGGAATAGGATGCAAGGAAATGGTCTTAGCTCCTTTTAAATTTCTTTTCCTATCTGATGAGATATGCCAATTATATCATCTCATAGGATTTGGGGTCAAGTAAATTGGCTGTTAATCGATGGTGTGAAGCAATTGACTATTACAAAGGACAAATATTAAATGGACATAGCCTGGTGTTGTATCTGGGGGCGGAAAGAGACGGGACTGTATAGATTCTACATATATCATGTTGCTAGAAATAGAGACGCTGGCATTTTCTCACTACTATACTGTTGTCCCTTAGAAGTCACCAAAATGAAACCATCTGCTATCCGCAACAACACTCAAGGAAACATCTTGCAATCTCTAGCAAATGACACTAATGAAACACACCCGAAAGCGAAATCTCACATAACAAGTGTCCTTCCTTGGTCACCAGTCTACAGTTAATGCCATTCACGTGACCTCTTTGCACTGCCTCACTGACTATCGCCCACGCTTGCTTTTTCTTTTCAGTGAGACCAGCAGGAAATGTCTTGTTGGTTTAGTAATGTGAGAACCAGGGAGGGGAGAGCAAGGAGGCTCCTTGCTTTTCCATATTCCCAGAATGCCAGAGCGCTGGGAGTGGGGAAAAGGGGGGAAGTAGAGCACATAGGGGGTGCTGCTTCCCTTCCGTGTGGACAGGAGACAGAAAAATCAGCCACGTTCTACAATTCCTGCCAAGACCATTCGCCAGAAGCGGAAGGATGGAATGGGTTTCTCTGCTGTCATTACATCTCTTCCTCTAGAAACCCTTTTAGGAATGACCGTGTTGCCTCTGCACCCTCCTCTTCCGGAATGGCGGCCGTGGTGACTAACAGAATCCCTCTCTTTGCCTCTTGCTTTTTTTTTTAGAGAGATTTTTTTGCTATAGGGCGCGCTTGCTGGAGAGACTGGGAGACAGAAGGTGAGAAAGCATCCCCTAGGGGATGGGCTTGGTCCTTGTGGAAGGACTGGATTTAGAAACTCTTGGACTGAGAAACCGCAGCATGGACTGTTGGGCTAAGAAGCTCCAGATTTTTTCTTTCTTTCTTTTTTTTTTTTTTATAGACAGTGTCTTTCCTGTCACAATCCTCCACCTCAGTCTCCCTGAGTCACTGGGATTGCTGGTCCATGCCAGCATACCCGCCTGTAGGTTGGAACAGGATCCAGACCTGGGTCTCCCATGCCATCCCAGCCAGTGCAGCACAGAGTTTTAGTGACTGCCATCACAGCTAGATCCAGAATTATTCCTGGAGGAAAAAACCCAAAACGAGTAGAATCTACCCAAGCACAATGCTGCACGAAGCACTGGGGTCTGCTTCTCTTACCGTCAGAGAGAGATTCATAGTCATAATCATATTCATCCTCCTCATCTTCCTCTTCCTCGTTCCCAGCGGGTGGGGGGTTGGCATTCCCACCATTATATGCCTGTGCTTGCATGGATGCTAACTGGTGAGCCTGTAAGAGAGCAGGAATGGTGGGTGTCCAGTTTCACGTGCATGTAAACCTTCCACCCACCACCTAATGCTTTCCAGTCATTAAAAGTAGCTTCACCTATTTCTATTCATTTGGGAAAGGAAAAATATATCTAGTTTCACTTGAAATGAAATGTCAACATGTGGGTGAATGTCAGCATTTCAACAGGAAGAATCCTGAAGCATCTAGAAACAACGGCAAGGAACCTGTATGTGGAGCCCAGTCTCCCAGGTTTCCTGGGGGTATACCCTCCTGGAAATCTGAGGTGCTTTGGGGAACCAGCATTGATCTCAAATGATTGGAGAAGTGAATTGGCCCATCAGTTTTTGAAAAACGAATCTCTGCTAAGCAAATCTTTTTTTCCCCTTCTTAAAATAATATCTACAGAGGCCTCTGCCCTTGAGAATAATGTTGAAATCCCCATGGACAAACAGATTAAAAGTATAACTGTTGGTTTAAAGTTTTTTAACAGACTTTATCTGAACCATAAATCAAGTTAAGAAAACAAGCTTAGAAACTTTAGAAAACTTGATGTGTGTGACCAGGGCAGTCATATGTGTACGTTCGACTGAAATTCTGCAAAGTGATGTCATGAGACACAGAGACAGTACAGGTCTGAGAACCTCACAAAGGGAAATCATCTGGAATAGAAGAAAAGCTATGTGCATGAATTAAAAGCAGGAAATGACCTACAAATCCAACAATAGAGGAATGAGGTCAGTAAACAATGATATATCCACTTGAGAAAATGAGACAGAAATAAAACAATTGGTAAGAGGTCTGGCCCCATAGCCTAATGGTTAAGGGAGCTAGTTCCCACGTGGCTGCCCACGGTTCAGATATCATATATATATACATATATATATAAATTGATATATATTTATTGTACAAAGAACACAGAATTGTGGAAATCTGTGTGCCTACACATACACACAGAGTATGTATACAGGAGGATATGTACATTGTATTTATATAACTATACATGAGTCTGCATTTTTTGTTATGAAGTATAATGATATAAAATGACATTCATAAAAAAGGTAGATACTAAAATATTAATATGGCAGGGGTTCTTGACTGTTTTAGTGTCACAGGTCCTCCTGTGACCTGTGAGTAAGATACAATCCTTTCATACGATGATGTATTAAATGTATAAAATAAAATAATTACAAAGGGAAGAAATAATATTGAATACAGTAGTCAAATACTATAGAAACAAATCGTGCTATTAAAATATGTGTGTTTCAGGCCAGCAAAGTGGCACGATAGTTAAGGTGACTGGGTCCCACATGGCTGGCTGCACTGTTTGAATTCCAGACTGGCAGTTTGAAAAACATATTGGTGAGGCCAGCAGGTGGTGTGGTGCTTAAGGCACTGGATTCCCACATGGCCTACAAATCACGCTGGTGTGCGTACATGCATGCCCAAAATTCCAAGAGGAGAATGGAGGAGAAGGGATTGTGGTGTGGCTATTCCCCATGGTGGGCGGTGATTTTTCACTCTTTTCCCTTTGTCTCTTTCTGGCAAATGCACATGCTCTATGGCAAAAACTTCAGAAAAAAAATAAATAAATAAAAACAAACCACATGGCCTACAAATCACGCTGGTGTGCGTACATGCATGCCCAAAATTCCAAGAGGAGAATGGAGGAGAAGGGATTGTGGTGTGGCTATTCCCCATGGTGGGCGGTGATTTTTCACTCTTTTCCCTTTGTCTCTTTCTGGCAAATGCACATGCTCTATGGCAAAAACTTCAGAAAAAAAAATAAATAAATAAAAACAAAAGCATGCTGGGTACATGTGCTTACATGCCCCAAATCCTGAGAAGACAATGGAAGAGAGGAGATTGTGGCATGGCCACCCACCCAGGGGTGGGGGTGATTTCTCACCCCCCCATCTCTTTCCAGCAAGCGCATGTGCCCTATAGCAGACTAAATAAAATAAATAAAGAAATAAATGGCCACAGAAGGCATGCAGTCTAAGGTGGCTGGATTCCCACACGGCCAACTGTGTGGTTGTGCCAGACCTGGCAACTTGAAAATTATATTGGGGGGACCAGCAGATGGCATAATGGTTACATCACTGGATTTCTATGGAGTCAACCATCGTTCAAGTCCCAGATCTGGTGACTAAAACTCATAAACTCATGCCAGGTGTGTGTGTGTGTGCATGCCCAAGATCCTGATTCATGCTTTCTGTCTCTGTAGCTCTAGCGAGTGCATGTTCCGTATAGAAAAATCTATTAAAAAAAAAATCAGGAACATGTGCATGTGTGCCCAAAGTCCCAAGAAAAGAGTGGAAAAGGGACTGCAGCATGGTCCTCTCCTTAGGGGGTGATTTCTCATTTTCCTCTCTTTCTCTGTCTCCAGCGAGCACATGCGCCCTGTAGCAATCTAAAAAGAAAAAGAATGAAAGAATGTGTTTCTCTGTTAACACAGTGAAAAATATATAGTGGTCAAGGAATGTTTTTGAAAATATGATGAACATAAATACTCTTGGAGACATTAACACGTGTGAAGTAATATGAAAAACCTGACATTTCTACTGGTGACAGAGATAGACTGCCAACTTGACTGGGGCTTGTTCCCCACATTTTTTTTATTATTATTTTTAAAAATTCTTATTATGTTCTCCACCTTTATATTCAGAGGAAATGCTAAACTTCAGCTAAAGGTGAGTAAAAGGAATATATATTTTCCCCCATTTACATTTCTGGACATCCTGAATTCTTTCTGTGGATATTACCAAGGTTAAAAACTCTGTAGGGCCAGCAGGCAGCACAGTGGTTAGGATGCTGGACTCTCACATGGCTGACTGCGGTCTGAATCCCAGACCTGGTGGCTTGCTTTCTCTCTCTCTCCCTGTTTCTCTCTCTCTGGTGAGCACACATGCCCCATAGCGAATTAAAAAATAACAGTAATAATAAATAAAACTAAGTAAATAAGTCTAAATAAAGAGAACTTTTGTTAATATATTTAAAAATACTCTGGTAGGGACAAGCAGTTAGCGTAATGGCTATGTTGCTGGACTCCCATGTAGTCGACAGTGGTTCGAGTCCCGGACCCGGCGGCTTAAACTCACACTGGGCACATGTGCATGTGTGCTCAAGATCCCAAGAGGAGAATGGAGGAGAGAGCATTGTGGTGTGGCCATCCTCCCTGGGGGGTGATTTCTCGCTTTCTATCTCTCTCTGTCTTTCTGGCGAGTGCGCGCACCCTATAGCAAAAACCTCTCCTCCACCCAAAAAAAAATTCTGGTATTTGCTCAATTTTGGGGAATGTGGTAATATTACCTTTTTAATAAAAATAATAAGGCAAATAAAATTTAGATTGTGCTATATCCAGGTGACTTGTTTTATAGTAGGTTCTACTCTATGTGACTGGATATTACCTAGGCTGGGATTTCTCAACAGAGAATTCAATTTCTCAATTTCTCATGAAGCTCCTTGGTGTTAATAGCTTTTATGGAAAAACTGACAATTACATAACCACAAAAGACAATGACAGTTTGGAAATAGCAGCTCAACCAAACCAAAACACACCCACTGCAGTTTCATAGAGCTGGCGTCTAACATGCCAAAGGGCACCGTGGTTCTGCAGAGCTGCAGGGCAGCATTTCCCACGCTTATGTAACTGGGTTTTTTTTTTTTTTTTTCTTTTCTTCCTTTCTTTCTTTTCTCAGAGTGTCTCACAGGACTCATACTCTTCAAAACTTTGGAAAATCCATTCTGGGCATGAGTGAGCCATGGAAGCAAGTCCATTTCCACTAACAGAAAGGTCTTGACTCAGCGAGCACTCCAGGTAAGGCCAAGTCCTAAGAATGATGTCACAAAGAGCCCGGGAGACCTTCTGGCAGGACAATGTAAGGACTGCATGGAGGAAGGACATTGGTCAGAGAACCAGATAGCAACATCAGGGAGTGGCATGCCAAGGCCCCTGAGACTCTCGAACAGTGTGGGAGAGGTGATCGGACAGACAGCCGAGAGCTGACACCCTTTTCCTTTGCAGTAACCTACTGAGGCTGAAAACCAGGTCCCCAGCCCTTGACTGCAAGTGCTTTAAAGTGCGATTGCACTGACCGCTCACGAGAACCCTGCAATGCAGGGATAGCCCCTTCATTTTCCAGGAAGATAACAACGGTGGTGTCAGCGCTCTGGGAATCCTTCCTTTTTTTGTTTTTGTTTTTAATATTTTGCCATAGGATGTGTGCGCTCACCACAGAGACAGAAAAAGAGAAAGGGAAAGTGAGAAATCACTCCCTGTGGGGGATGGCCACGCTACAATCCCTTCTCCATTCTCCTCCTGGTACTTTGGGCATGCATGCACACGTGCCTGGTGATTTTCAAGCTGCCAAGTCTGGGACTCAAGATGCAGTTGGCCATGTGGGAGTCCAGCACCTTAGTCACCACAGCACTTGCTGCCCTGGGATGCAAGTTTTAACGTCACCCAAAAAATGCACGACAGGAAAAACTACATGAGAGACTTTTTTCTGAGTTTTGAGAAACGATGATACTACATGCTGGATTCTTGATTCTCGAGCATAATGTATAAGATGCCCACAGGCTTAGAGGATTCTGGATGGTCTCGAGCCACCCCCCTGGGGCAAAGGTAGGGCAAAGCTGATTGGTTTTGGGGGCTTTCCGGAAATGCCAATTTTTTTCTTTTTCTTAACAGAAGCTTAAAGATGCTGCAGCTTCTGGCCTCATCACCCTTCCCTACCCTGAGAGCATCTGAAACCCTCAGGGCTTCTGAGGTCAGTAGATAGGGGGATGCCAGACCCCAACTCAACCTGGACTTTCTGCAGATAAGAGATAAGAGATGCCCCAGAGGGTCCCACAGAGAAGCAGTAAAGTTCCTGGATGGCAAGAAACACTGGAGGGACCAGCAGTTGGCATCATGGCTGTTGCTAGACTCCTATGTAGTTGACTGCGAAATGGAGACAGAGATGCGGGAGGATGAAGGGTTTCCAGAGCAGTCTGCGATTCCGACAGGGGCCCCAGTACACACCCTGTACGAGGTTCTCTAAGCGTTTATGTTAGTAGGTCCGGTACTTATTACCTACATTCTCCTTTTACAGATGAAGAAGAAAAGGCCCAGAAAGCGGGACTGTCCCTTGGTCACACGGCTGAGAGCGCCACAGCCAGCAGCCAGCTCTGTGTCCTAGTTGCTCTCCCCCCTACCCCGGGGCCTTCTCCACTGTCATTCTGCTTGGCCTTTAGGTTTTCAGCTTGGGCCCTGCCTATGAACTCCACAGACTCAAGTTTTCACAGGGTTCCATGACTGCCCCAATTTACTGTTCCATAAGTCAACTGGACGCTTGGCTCAATTCAACTTGACACTTTTTTATTCGTGGACTAGGGCAAGAGTTCTAAATTTGCTGGGCTCGTAGGCCCCTGGTGGCAGGGGGCTGGGGTGGGGAGATTTCTCTTTTTCTATCTCTTTGTCTCTCCAGAAAACACACGTGCCCTATAGCAAAAATAGTTCTAAAAAACAAACAAAATAAAAGAAACTTAGGATATCCCTAATTTCTTTGTTCCAAGCACATAACATATTCATAGTTTATTTAACAGGAGGGAGTACCTTTTGCTTTAAGATATCCACTGGTGTCTGATGGGCTTTTAGCTTCTTGTTTTTAAGAAGCACTTTCCTCCTAAGTTGGTCAGGTGAGGGAAGCATTGGATCATCGGAGAAATCAGTCTCAAATAAGAATTTAGCCACCAGCTTTTCTCCAAACACAGTCTAAAAAGAGTAATGAAAACACAATCAGTACATTTTCACTTACATGTGATATATTTATATTTCACAAGTATACTAGATATTTCAACCTGGTTGAATTGTTTTAAAAATCCTAAGAGAAGGCACTAGGAAGGATGTCATTTTCCCCCTCTGCCACAATTTCTTCCTGGAAGGAAAGGAGGTATTTAAAAGAACAGGAAGAGACGGTGAGGCCACTGCAGCTGGGCCAGCTCTAACTCTACAGGAAAAGGTGTTGGGTGTGATGTACTACAGATGATGACAGGCATTCACTTAGAGGCTGTGGCTTGTATGGTCTGTCGGATGATAAGAAGAAGTCAGAAGGACAGAAGCCTTGGAGAGAGTAGGGAGTGAGGACAAAGATGAAAGACAGTGGGCAGAGTTTGCCCCCGCAAACCATAAAGAAGCACAGACACCATTCTCACAGAGGTTTTGAGCATTGGTCTCAAGCTGAAAAACGGCAGAAGTTGGCGTAATGGCTGTGCTAGACTCCTATGTAGTCCACTGTGATTCGAGTCCTGGACCCAGTGGCTTAAATCTCACGCAGGGCACGTGTGCATGCATACCCAAGATGCCAAAAGGAGAATGGAGGAGAAGGGATTGCGGCTTTGAGAGGTTTTGAGCATTGGTCTCCAAAGCAGAATGTGTGTCTCTCGAGGTGTGTGGAGGGAAGCAGACACAGAATGACCTACTGGGGTGTGGGTAGAAAATGCAGCCATTTATAGTTCTAATTATTTTTTAATTTAAAAAGAGAAGGAAAAGGCCAAAGCTTAGGCCAAGGTACTATGAAAGGCTGATGAGCTTTGTTGTCATTAGTATTTGGGGCTATTTCTCTACATCAGTGCCTTGCCCTCGCCCTGAGAGCCACTTTCCCATGAACACCTCTACCGCTAGAGGAGGGGGCAGTAGGAGGGACTTCCTGCTCCCAGACCCACTGCACCACGGTTCCCCGGTGCTAGAAAGGCTGACTATGAGCAATGCAGCTGCTCTGGCAAGTCTAAGCTCTTTGCCACTTGGGTCCTTGTACTGCAGTGTGGGCCATGAAGAGATCAGACTGACTTGCCTTGAGACATTTTCAGCTCTTCCACATACATGAGAGGTGACAACCTGGCATCCCTGACTTGCCAGACCAGAAGGGTTGGGGAGATGGTTTATCCCTATCCCCTATGGCTTTCTGGAAAGCAACAGGAGACTGGAGAATGATGCTTACTTCCCTCCAGGTGAAAAGGGGAACCACTGGAGAGAGAGCCCAGATGCTCAGGCAGCGGCACCATCTCCTAGGTCTGTGGGACCCGCTTCACAGCTGAGGCCCAGCTGTGGCATGGTCCACAACCGCCCCATGTAAAATTCAACAATAACTACAAGACAAGAGCCAAGACACCATCCTGCCTCTTAGCTGAGAACTCACCTTGAAGATTTCTGCCATTTTTCGTTGCTGAGGCAATGAACAGTGATTCTCAATAGATATGATGATCGGGAGGTCAGAGTTGATGAAGGCGCTTCGATCAATGGCTTCAACCACTTCCTATGAGAACCAAAATAGCTCATTAGAATCCAGATATCTGTCCAGGATGGACAGAGACAAGGCTCTTATAGCCATAGAAAGCTGCTGCATGCAGCAGACTCTGCCAAAGGGGGTTGGTTTATCTTTGAAATGTATCTTCAAACTAAGGGAATGGAGTAGGACCAGCTGGTGGATGCACATGGCCAACCATGCTTTGAGTCCTGGATTGAAAAACATGCCATGTGCATAAGCATGTGTGCCCAAAATCTGAAAAGGAGATATGGAGGAGAAGAGATTGTGGTGTGTCTCTCTCCTACGGCATGGGTGTTTTCTTACTTTCCCTGAGCTCTTGATCTAATGCAAAATTTGGTAGAGCCACTGATTAAAATGACCAATGAAGATACTGTCTAGTGATTTGATTTAAAGGAAGTTATGAAGCATTACCTTGAAGGGGATCTTGGTGGTCAGTGTATGTCCATGATAAATGATAGGCATTCCATCATCTCCATCCCAGCAGTCCAACTCCACACTCCTACAGCCTTGTAAGAGGACCTGTGTGATAAAGAATGAATCCACCCTACATGAGCACCTGGAGATAAAGCCTTCAGCTAAATTCAGCACATGGTTCTACATAGCAGTCCATGTTCACATTTGGGGATGAGCAGAAGGGTGTATGAACTAAACTTAATATTGCAATTTGGCCAAAGGACACAGTTAATCTGGGGTGGAGAAGGGTAAGCAGGTTAAGGTTGAAAGAG